ATATATTATCCATTTTTAGGGTTGGGAAGAGAGCAGTACATCAGCTCAGGAAAGCATCCCATCCCTTGCTCAGCTGTGTGAGAGGGCGGTGGTGCCTGAACCACTTCACTTGACTTTCCCAGCCTGTATTCCTCTGCATTCAGGTTTTGCTCGGAGCTTCCATGATTCTCACATTTGGTCACGTTACGTGTTCATTTACTTCTCTTTCTTACAAGTGCTGGTATTTGAATCGGCTGTTTAAGTGAAGCAGCAGGCATACAGCCTCTTGCTGAATTCTGTTGAATTGATGTAGGGATTAACTTGAGAGATGTCAAGTGCTTGAGGTTTTGGTACAAAAGTTAGTGCAGGAATAAATCTGGAATCTTAAATATAGATTTCATGAGAAGATATGTCACCGTGCTATCACAAGATTAATTTCTTGGCCCAGGATAACACTGGCTTTTGACGAGCATATCTTCAAATATTTAAAAATCCGTTCTTGTGTTTCACCATGAAGTGATGTGGTCCAGCACTCCTCTGGCTCAAATGCTGGAAATGATTTGTTTCTTTTTACGTGAGTCATTTCTGTTCATTTGTAACTGTAGTTAATTGGTTAATGGCTCTTATGGTTAATATGCTTCTTGCAGGGTTTCTTCTGCCCTTGAATGATCGTGATTTGGAGTATACAAGTTTGACTCAAATACCAGTGTAGAAATTCCCCCTAGGACTGCTTGTTTCCAAATGCATATTTCTATGCTATGTGCCTGTAAAACTACCAGTCTTATTATTACTTCTCTAAGTCAGGGCCACAGTGGGGTTATTTTTCTCTACAGTATGTGTGAATATTAACATTTAGGCTTCAGAGCTGCACATAACGTGGTGGGGAGTTGGCTTCTAGAGGTGCCTTCACTTACTCAGCAGCAGTGGTGTGGACCTTAATGAGGAAACGAGCACAGTACCGTAGCAATGATATTACTGATACTTGGGATTCTGCATATTTAAAAGAAAAAAGCAGTGTTGTCAGTGCATGCTTGCTCTTATTTACGTACTACATTAATAGCTGGTGATCACTTCCTTTCTTTCGTACACCACTGAATGTAGTTTTCTGTTTTCTCAAAGACGTTTCTTGTCACAGGAAATACCTGCTTAGGAGAAGGTGGAGCAAAAAGACTTTTAATGAATGATCATGGTTCAGTTTTATCCGTTCTGCTTTTATTGCTGGAGGGGTCACTTTAGATTACAGAATTTTCAGTTGGGTCGATTTTATTTATTGCTTCTTCAGTACTTGATAATTATTATTGCTTTGAAATATTGAATTTCTGGTCTAAGATACGTAATGCTGACAGCATTTGTGATGTAACTGCAGAATCACTGGGAATTTGTAGCAAGCATGTTGGCCAAAAAAAAAAAAGGCTTCCTGGGCTTTCACCCTTGTCAGTTGGTGTATGAGGCCTGGTGCACTTTAATGGCTATAATTTTAAACTAATGAAACTCTTCCTTAAGTGCAGTTTTTTAATTCTTTGATTAAACTGGAAGACTTAAAACCCAAGTTGCTGTGATGGGTAGAACCTTTTTTTCCAATTACTGACGTAAGTTTTTAAGGCTGTCATCGTACCCTTTTTTTTTCCACTTTAAGTAATAGCAGCTTTTGTCTTACACAGCCCTCTTTCTTCATGTTTATTCCTGTAATGCTTTTATGACTAGGAACTATATTGCTTATTCAGTCAGGTAAGCAAACATAGCTTCTACTCTATGCTCTAAGCACTGATTTCCAGCCCCGCCCCTTCCCCTTTCTTTTGATCATCCTAAACTGTGTCTGATCTGCATATTTGGCTCAGATCTGGGAAAGATTTGCACCTTAGTTTGCCTACTGCCCTCACTTAAAGCAGCATGGGACACAGTGTCCCTTGGCATCTCTTAATATCCTCCAGAACGCCTGAAGTCTGTGGTGAGTTAGCTTGCTGTGCTGGGCTTTGATGTGCAGTGCACTTGGAATAGCTCATCAAAGCAGAAACACGGGTTAAGAAACTATTCTTAATCATCGTGCAGTTGTTAGCTGCTGCTCTACAGCTGACGCTGCGTGAATCGTCCTCCATTTCCTGCCTCAGAAACTTCGTGGTCCTGTCGTTCATTTTGGAGCTGCTGCTGTTGTGTCATTTCCCAGCTGAGGCCGGCATGGAGTCTGCAGGTGCTTCTGTGCTTCGTTCAGCTGATTGCTGCCGTTGAACAGTTGAACGCAAACCACCGATGGAGCGGAGAATAACAGTGAAAGCTCATGCAGGCAGTCTTCCGTTGTTGCTGGGAAGCAGCAGGAACAAGCAACCACATTCTCTCCATCTGTCATTTATGCTGGTGCTCTTCTTTGCTCTTTTCTCCTTGTGGTCTAGATTGAATCCTTTGGCTGCTGTTAGTGATCTTGGCTGAGAAATTGTAGTTTGTAGTCTTAAGACCGCTGCTGGGGATCATGCAGCTCTGTCTCTTATTAAAAAATAAACAACCCACAAAGCCTTCCGGTGGATCTCTTCTGTTCTGTAAGCGCTGTGCTGTCATTTGATGGGTCAGTAGTTACTATTCTGTTGCCATCTCTGCTGCCAGAAAGTTCTTCTGTGTTGGTGCTTGAGTCTTCGTTCTTATTACACAGGGCACACACAGTAATCAGGTAAAGTCTCCAGCCAGCTATGAGTTGCTGCTCTAAGTTGGGTCTCACCTGCTTTCTCTCACAGTACCTCAGTCTCATGACCCATGGTCACTTTGTAACGGGCTGAGCTTTTTCCTCCTGGTTCCTGAATTGAAGAGCTGTTTATGGCAGAAATATGGTTGAATCTTCTGTGATAGAATTTCTTCTTTTATTCAAGTTCTTAAGGTTATCCAGCTCTTTCTGGGCAGCATCCTGATTGTCCTTCTGTAACGTGGTTTTATCGACAGACATCACCATGTTCCTTCATCTTACGCCAGGATTGCTAATAGGAAAAAAAACATAACAAGACTAATTCCTAAACCGATCTGATTAGTGTTTAATTCTAAGTGTCTGTACCTCTCCATCAGTAGAGAACAGTTACGTGTAGAAGTCTTCAGAAAAGTGGTGTTTTGGAGGAGGAAAAAAAAAATTATCAGGATTTAAAACATGTTTAGAGCATCTTGGTGGATTTAAAAAAAATCAGTGTGATCCAGTTTTTCTGAAGGCATTTCAGCTCATTCTGAGTTACTGAACTCAGTGAAGGAAACCAGACAGAAAATCTGCTCATTTCCTTAAATCAGTGGTAAAGTAGTTGATTCAATATTGTTTTGCTTTCTGTACTAATTGAGTGAGAATACTTTTGATCCAGTTGTGTGGATAAATGTGTTAAAGAAGAACATAAGGAGTGGGGAGGTGACTGAAGTGGAACCAGTAAGCCCTGCTAAGACAAGGGTTAAATACCAAAAGGTGCTTCGGTCATTCGAACAGTGAAATAGAAAGGGGAAGCAAAGCTCTCCTTAAAGGTGGTAGCACTTAAGTTCATTCAGTTTATAAAATCATGGGGGGAGAAGGCTGGGTGGCTGGTGAATGTAAGGGTTTAGAAACTGAGGTAGTTATAAAAGTGAAAGGTGCTAAAGCACTGAAGTACAGATCACGTGGTGTGCTCCAAAAGCTTTCAAGAGTTCTTTTTTTAAGCTGTACCAGAGTTGTGGTGTTAATGTTTTTCATAAAGAATGTATATATCGAAATAGCTGAACTGCTGCACTTAATGCAGATTGCTGTTTTCTTTTTTAAACAGTAACAAAACTTGGACAGCTTAGAACTGGACAGCTGTGTGTACTGGTGGCTTCAGAAGACTTGGGGAAAAAAAGCTCCCACTGAGTGTTCAACACAGAAAATGAAATACAGTCAGCTTATCAAATGTAGTTCATGTTGAAATACCTTCTGATATCTTCTCTGGCAAGACTTACTTTATGTAAGGTCCTTGATGGGAACCTATATAGAAAAATGCTACTGAAGCAGCACTTTTATCAAAAGAGCTGTAATGTTGTTGACAAGGTGGCCAAGAAGTGGTGACTGGTAGTTTAGGAAACGGAAGGGGAGGAATGAGGGCAGGTTTTAGAGAACACACCTTTCATGTTCAGTTTAGATATCAAGGGTGCCTGTTCCTGCTAGGGCTTTGAACAACGGACATTTAATATTCAGAATTAAAGAATAAATCAGGAAGTCCAGAGATTTAATGGTCACTTCACTACTTCAAGTGACACAAACAGTGCATTGATGTGTCTTCTGAACTTCCTAAATTCTGATTCCTTCTGTCCGGAGTTTGCTGTTGACAGCTGATAAGAACTGACTGAACTATTAATGTGAATGTTAAAGGGAGCAAGTAATACTGCTCTCTTTCATTTTGTGATAGTGTGTTATTTATAAGAAGCTGTGAGGTCATTGGCTTCCTGTATGAGCCACTTCCTGAAAGCTTTTGTTTTACATGGTAAATCTAAAAATGTATTTCTTTGAAAAACTCAGCTGTGTTTTGTTTTCTCTTCTCCTTCTTCTGACTGTCTCCTGTCTCCTTACTTTTGCTTCTGCTCCATTGCTTATTGCAGAACGGGATGCATTGTGACGGAGGGCACGAGCTGTGTTGGTGGAGTGCTGCAGAGAAAGATAGTTGCAAAAAGCCATCACCACTGATAGAGTAGGAACAGCTTAAAGCAGTCTGACATGCAGCAGTATTGACATCTCAAACGTTAGTAGAGTTGTGAGTCACACAGAGGCAAATAATCAGATTACATCTAACTTAAGCTAAACCTGAACTAGCAAAACTATTCAGAACATTATCTTCATGTTCAGTTCTGATTGTCTAAGGGGCAGTTACTTCTGTGCAGTGCTATGGTTGAAATTACTTGCAGTTTTTCTTTTAGGGTTCTCATACAATCAGTGAATTTCTGAATGCTTAGTTTTTTAAAAGAAACCATCAAATTTCATCAGACTTCAAGGGTTTGGCAATAAAAGGAGATAAGCATGTATGTGTGTGTGTGAGAAAGGAAGCGAGCAGAACAGAAGAATTCTGTTTTTCAACCAACAAACCAAGTTACTGAAAACATGTATAATTTTTAAAGGGAATACAAAATACAGTGTAGGGGTCACCTATTTAACTTTCTTCACTTTGCTAAGCAAGGCTAATAGCTATACTAGCCGAGTATAGAGAACCTAGAACAGACTGTGAACAAGTGCTTTGGTCTGTAAGCGATCTGAAGTTTTAAAATGTATGAACATACAGAGCTTCTGCTGTGGAAAGGAGAACCTCATGTCAGTTTGAAGGTGCAAGAAAAACAGCAGTTGGTTTTGTGGCTAATTATATACTTGTTCAATTCAGATGAGTTATTTTGTTTAATGACCATCAGAGATAATACTGAGACTTGCTAAACTTGACAGAAGTAATAGCATTGGGAGAGCCTTAAAAATACAAGTGCTTCTAAAAGAAACAAACAGTTGTAATAATTTTTAATTTTTTTTTTGCCAATCAGCACACAGTTTTATCGCAGCAATAAAGTCATTCTCCATGTCTCCATCAGGCCTTGCTGCCTGTTGGCAATATTCCTGTCCATTTCATGGTAATTTCATCGGTTATTAGCACTTGTCAATAGCTTGTCCACCATAAATCTCACATCTCCCAAACGCTGTCTGCTCACCAGAATCAGTTTGCAGATTTCTAAAAATACCCTTCAGACCTCAGCTTCGTGTGGCTTCAGTTGCTGTTGGATGAAGAACTAGACTTAAGTTGACTTGAGATAACCGTGTTTGGTGTCTGCTGATGCTTTTCCCCTCTCTTTTCTCATGGATGTGGAGAAGTGGAAGCAATGCCTGTGTCAGTATGTTCTTAATCTTGGGATTGATTACTGAAAAACTTCTCTCCTAGTGTGAAGGTGCTGATGTTATTGAGAACTGTGGGAGCGTGCTTTTGGTTTATATCAGGCTCTTAACTTCACCTTAGTTGTTTCAGTTTGTGTCTCTTAATGTGAGGTGCTGATTTACTGTCCTGGTATCACAATGCAATCACTGCACTGTCAGATTCGTGCATGATTTTGATCAGTTCTGAGAAATAAATAACAGATAGGAGTTACCAGTGTGGTTAGACTGAAACGATGTGCCTGATTGTTAGATATCAGCTCCAGGTGGACCTCTTCAGGATTTGTTGCATTCCTCTATGTTGTCATTCACCTGTAAAGGGAATCTGGGAGTGTTTAATTGAATGAGTTCTTACCAATTCTCTATCCAGCATACGATCTAGTCACTCAACTGGGGAAAAAACTGAGGACCATGAGGATGAGCTGCAGTGACCTGTGATAGAAGAGTGTTTGGTGTAAGCAACCTAAATCTTCAGGTTGTGATACACACCAACATGTATACATCTGCTTTGTAGAAATGGAGTTGGAATTCCAGAATCTCAAGTGATTTCTGGATTGGAGAGAACACCCTGTTTTTTTTGATACTTAAAATGCATAGTTTTGGGGATGATAGTTGGGCGCATAGAATTAACTGAAAATTGGGTTGGAATCAGATTCTTTGTTTTCTGTGTTGCTTAAAACATAGGAAGAAGGCCTGAAGTACTTTGCAAAATGATCTTCAGTATCTGTATGCTTCTCTGAAATTTTCTCAGTTTTAAATTTGGTGTGGAATAATTACTAACCATCTTTACTAACATCTTTACTTAGGAATACTTCACTGAATTCCTGACTGCGTAGGCACTTGTAGAACTTGTGGAGATTTTGCTTAGGTAAGAGTAATAATATGGATTAAGAGCTGCAGTCATGCTGAGCTGTAATAATTATAACAATAAAGAAAAAAATGAAGTAAACTGAGAGTTAAACAGAAAGGCTCTGAAGAGCACATCACTGCAGTTTCAGATAGCTATCACTAGGAGGACACACAGACCACGACATCAAGGAGCTGCTTGTTTACCACCTCGTATTAACTGGTTTGATGCTAGTTTATAAAATCCAGAAAAGTACATGGGGAAAAGTGGCTGAATAATTTGTAATTTGTGGCTTCAGGTATTGTTTTACTCAGAGTAGGGAGTTGTGTAACAGAAGAGAAAGGAGTATGAGAACATTTGGAAATCTCTCGGTGCTTTGTCATTGAATCAGCAGAATGCTGCTTCGTGTGCACATATGCCAGGCAGTAATTGATGACATGTAGGTGGAAGCGAGCTTTTTTTATTGGTTATTGTCCAGTTGTCTGTGCAGTAATTTCTAACACCTCTTTATGTTACGGGCTTCTGCTGGGCAGGGTGCTGTGTAAGATGGAGCACTGGCTGGGACTTGGCGCATCGCTTCTTGTCGTCTCGGCTAACGTTTAACCTGTTTGTGGTCTCGCACGGTGTTTGCAGATAGCTTTTCTTTTAGTTCTCTGTGCATGTTTACTTAGATTCTGATGTACAGTGCCGGGATAAGGAACATGGAAATGAGGCTCACTGATGTAATAGACTGTAGAGTGCCCGTGTTGCTGAGGCAAGCTGTTACCTAATAAGGATTTCAGAATCTGACTCTTTCCGTATAGGATTGTTATTGATATCACACATGCAGACAAAGATGATAACTGAAGCATATGCTTTAAATAAAATGACACGAGAAAATGAAAAATGGTTTCAGACTTAAAATTAGTGAAAGATCCATGGAAATAACACCAGATGGAGAGAAAAAGAAAGTAAGACAGATTATTAATAAGTACAATGTGCTACAGTTAGATAGAATATAATCTTGCAGGCTGCCAGTGCATGAAATTCATTGTGACTTCTGTAAGAGTTGCTTTGTTACATAAAGTGAAAATACGCCGACTCTTCTGGAATAATACCTGGTATTGCAAATAGGAGCAGAGCCCAGTTTTAGGTAGTTCTGGATTGTTACGACCCACTAAGTCTGGTTAGAACAGAACAGAGTTCTGAGAAAGAGGTGTTATTTATGGAATTATACAGTTTCACATCTCTGGATTCATGTACTTAATTTGCTTTGAGACATTTTCCTCACTATTGCAGCTGGTTTCTATTGCTGAGTTTTGTAAGGTTCAGCAACACAAGCACTCTGCCTGCCTGCAGGAAAACTGAGGTCTGGGACTGTTGCATGGATGCTTTACTGAAACTTGTGATTAAATAAACCTGTTTGCTTCTTGCTCATTCTGTGTTAATCATAATTTGTTTTCATGCATTTGTGGTTCTTCAAGTATTGCTTTGATTCTGAACAGAGCTTGTTCTATTTTCTTACTAGCAATATTTTTGTCCATCCATTTCTACTCTCCCAGCTAGCTGACTTCATTATTTTATTGTGGGAATCAGTCTTCTTTTGTACCACGAAATCCTGGTGTGCTGCTCAGGCTCTTAATGGTCAAAAAGCAGGAGCACAGCTGGCTTCCATTTGTTACGTGTGCTGGCTCTGTGGATAGGACTGGGCACTGTGCAGATCTGTGGCTTTAGCCCCCTGGACCACGTGCATCTTTAGAATTTGAATTGAATTACAGGTTCATCAAGGCAACTCTTCCGCATCAGGTGACATCTGGTTTTACCTGTCCAGCCTTCTCATGCTGTCTGTAGGATTTCTGTTGTAAAGATCCTGCTCTAAAACTAATCCAGGATATTCTAAATAACAATTGAAGTAAAAGTGGAAACTGCATAATATTACTTACCTCATTAGAGATCCGTAGCATTTTTGTTCTGGTTATAATTTTGGAAACAAAATGTTAGGCCTTGAAAGTGGAGATGAGGCCCTGCATGAGAGCTGCTGAGTTCAGTGTGACCCACTGATTGAGCACCTGGGGAAAGGAGCCGGTCAACCCTGGGAGCACAGGTGAAGGCAATTCAGCTGTGACTGGAAGGGGCGGAGCCTGGCTTCACCTCTCTTAGACCTCATTTAAGGGCTGACTGCCACTGAAGAAGGATCTTTTTCTGGAGCCCTTCTCGGTGAAGCTTTCCCCTGAAATCTAGAATCTTCTGATACAGGTGAGCAATCTTCTTGCCTTCCTTTGTAGCATCGCTCTGTCATGCCAGTCTTTTTGTTGTCACACCTTTGTTGTAATGCCTTTCCCACTGTATTGATCTAACTGCTACAGGCTGCTATTAAGGATTGATCTAGCCAGAACAAAGACTTAAGGTCCATTTAATCTTAATGGGGAGTGCGAGGACCAGGCCACAAGACTTCATGAATTGAAAATGCTCGAAAGTTCTGTACTGCTTTTTGCCAAAAGTTGGGTGAAAGTGGTGTTTCCTGAAGAGTTGCATTGGGCTAACTGAATGAGGTGAGCTGCTTTTAGAATGAATAAACGCTTCAGTATAGTTCTTATTCTCCCAGAGTATTTACAAAGTGAGCAATTATAGTATAACAGTGTGTATTCTCAAAATGCAGTATTATGTTGGTAGCAAAGCAAGTTTTTTTTTCCCCACATCCTTCAAATTAGAAAGGAAATAGCTTGCTGCACTACACTGGATTACATGGCTTTATTTGTTTAGGTTTTTGTTTAACAGCGTAGTAGTTTTTAACCTTTGACTGAACGTGGGTTTTTTGGAACCCATTCAAGGATTTACATTTCAGATAATCATTCAGATTTGAAGAGAGTTACCAGAACAGATCAATACAGAAATCCTGTTTTGTGAGTAACATCAAATTGAAGAATGTCACATCGCTTCAGCTGAGAGGCTGACAGATTGGCAACTGATGCAGGCTTGGAAGAAGGGTCAGGGCAGAGAAGGCAGAAGAGAGCAAGAGGTTAAAGCAGGAAACCAGGCTGGTGGGCACATTCTTTATTATGAAGCAGTGCAGATGGCAGTAGTACTGTATTAGTTTTTATAATGCAGCACATTAGGATACTCTATGCATTCATCACTAGGAGTGCAGTCAGATGTGAAATTCTATTTTTTGCAGCTTTTAGACTCTTATTACATCAGATCTGCTAGACTTGCACTTTGCAGCCTATGAGGTGTTGCAGAGAGTAAATAAAGTATGAAGCAGACTTCTCCATTCGGTGTTGGAGCCAAAGAATATTAGGAACTGGAGAGAAGCATTCTTCATTGAGATGAGGCGTAGGCTGAGAGGCGCTGAGATAGCAGGTCAGTGCGTATTGGCTTTTCTCAAGCTGGCCGCCAAAACCAGAATGTTCCTCTGAAATAGTTGCAGGTTTTTCTGAGAATAGATGGAGTGTGCAGTGTGTGTTCTTTTTTAATCGAAAGATCAAGGGAAAAAAACAACGGATTTTTTGTCTTCAGAGATAAAGGGATTTTTATGGTATCGTTTCCATAAATAATCAGTTAGTTTTGGTACTTTTGTGTAGAAGTCTGGAAACGCTTGCAGCATTATTGAGAAACTCCATCAGAGGATTGCCAGTTAGCAGCATCGTGTCTGTGGTGAAGGTGAACTGAATTGGATTGTGGTACCAGACTGGTGCAGGGTTTGATGTGACTTCCCTCTTACTGCTGGTTACTGTAACCCCATTAGGCGGAGCAGTTCTGTGCAGTTCGGATCAAATTTCTAGGGCTTATTCTATCTTCTCAAAGGTTCTAAGAATAAATGGAGTTTCTGGTATTGTGTGTTACGGATGGTAACTGCATTGGGATGAGATGGGTAACGACAACGGGCTGTGCGTTATGTAGTTGTTGGCACATCATTGTGCTTTGACCAAAGAGGTTTGTTGTAACAGAAACCAATTGCAGTACCAAGCAGTGTCTGTGCTGTCAGCCTAGTCATAAGCAGGTTGGAGTTGGAGAAAAGAAATAAATATTCTTCTGTAGGCACCGGCTTTACTTGAGTCAATCTGATGTTCAGTTCTGATAGGAAGATCAAAGGTGATGCATTGGTCTTTGGGTTTGCAGTAGGGTATTTGTGTACTTAGTCTTTAAATGTCTTACGAGAAGTGAGTGATGTTGTTACCAAGCGTAGTTTATTGAAGATGAAAAGTGGTTGAACTGACGTGTAGAAGGTCTTCCTTTATCGACATGATTTGTCTTCAGCGACTTGTGCAAAGCGTGTGAGTGTGTCTGTAGATGTTTTGTACGCAGCATCTGCAGAAGCCATTTTTAGGGCCTTGTTTCTGTTGACTCGCTTTAGCTGGTGCCAGTCTCTTGAGTGCAGTTGTACCAGTCCTGTCATGTTCCTCAGTTTTAAGTAGGAACAGTAGAGGAAAAGAGGGAGAACAAAGGGATGACCAGAGCGCTCCATCCCTGTGTGTTACGAAAGCATGCGTGGGAATTGGGTGCCTATGGGTCAAAACGTTCTTTATATTCCACAGTCATTGTTTGTTTTAAACACAGTTTTGATGTAAAAATAGGCAGCCCTGCCTGCAGCAGAGCGGGTTAGAGCTTAATGATCCTTGAGGTCCCTTCCAACCCAAGCCATTCTGTGAGTCTCTTCTGGGTGTGAAAGTCAAGCGTTTGTTTTCCCACAGAGAGCTTTACCAAGGAGTTGTCTTTTAGAACTGTTGGCCACTGATGGTGAAGCTCTGGCAGTTTGCTTTTAATCACAGTACTGCCAACAGTTTAATGGAATTATGCCTCTGTTTCAAAAGATGTCTTGAGATTTCTTGGAAGAGGATGGTGGCTGACATAAATATACCTAAAACAGGAATAGAAGTGTGCTATTTCTGGAATAGTTCGGGGTATTTTTCTTTTCTGTGGAATATTTGAAGCTGTTATATCACTAACAGGAATGACAAGCTATGAAGTTTCAATAGGCGTGCTGAGATCAGACTTGATAGCTCAGTTGAGAAGTCAGACCCTTCCTAGATAGCAGATGAAGGTCAGTAGGGTGTGTATCAGATCAGCGTGGGATTTCTTTGTCTCTGTGGCTCAAATATTCAGCAACGTATTGTTTATGATTCTTTGTGTAAGAAACCACTGGAATTGGAGTTACTTTGTGTAAAATTGAAGGAACTTGAATATAAGTGATAAAATATTTACAAGAGTAGTATGGGGTACTGCATTCTCACAGCATTGTGTGTTTCCCCAACATGTTATCTTTTTGTGTGTAACCACATAAATATATTTGAGCTACAAGAAAAAAATGTTGAAGAATGAAGGGGTAAACTTTTGGATGAGCTGGTTCCAGGATATGGTTACCTATTTGTATAGGTAAGCTTTGTAACTTAAAATGCTTCAGGATGACCATCCTGCCTTTCATCTGGGGTGGGTGGTCACAAGTAGCTTAGTTTGAAGCACTGACATCCCGTCGTGCTGTTTGTGTGCTTTCCCTGGTCACGATCACCTGGCTGCTGTGGGTGTAAGGATCAGATGAGGCAGACTGCTATACATAGGAGAAGTTGTACTCCACTGCCTTTATGATTTCTTGTCTAAGGGCTTTTTTGTTTTTTTTTTTTGCTGTTGTTCTCTGGTTAGGTACAGGAGACTTAGGAGTTTCAGGAAGCAGGACTAGTTGTGATGGTGTGTTTCTCTTCTGGAATGATGAAATAACATCTTTTTGTGGAGTACTGTGATCAGGGTAGGAGGGTAGAAGGATTTTTGTTCTCTGTGTTGTTTCCTTGCCTGAAGGCCAGGGGTTAGCATGTCTTTAATATTCTGGGCATGTATGTATTATCACACTGATACTAAAATACGAATCGTATCTTTTTGCCAAGGATTTCATTTTTGGGGATGAGAGCATGGCTGTTAGTGCCTCAAAATTGCCTAGAATCCTGCAGTTGCCAGTGAGATTGATCCCTCCAGGTTCCAGATGTGGAACAGCAAGGTAGATGAATGACACCTGTGAGTGTCACAGACTCTTCACAGTCAGAGGAGGGCTATTGTAGGACATTTAGGGGGTGGCTTCCCATTTTTCTCACGTAGAGACTGAATTTCGAAACCACTGACTCTTTTAACTTGATTCCCCGTTACTTATGGGGTAACCTAGACAGCTGGTTTACATGTGGGCACCTATATTGTTCAGAAGTGAGATAAATACAATCCGGGGTGATAAGCGGGCTTTGATTGTGATGCTTTGTGAGAAATCTCAATTTCTATCAGTGTGTCGTGGTGTTTTTCAGTGGAGTTCTGTAGAATCCAGGGTCTTCTGTCTTTCAGAATGGATACGTGCTAAAACAGGCTTTTGCAGAGAAAATGGGCAGAATGGAGAAATATTATCACACTTCTTGTTTTTCTACTGCGCGTTCATCTTTGGATTTCTCTCAGTTTGTGTGAATTGAACAGGAGAGTGTGTTGGACCGGAAAAATCTGTTCCATTAAACTCTAAATGCACAGCATTCTGTCTGTGTGTCTGCCTTCATCGCTGTGTTTAAAATCTCAAAGATAATAATATTGACAGGTTTTGTTCTGTTACTGTAATCAAATTCTGTAATGCAGTTAGCTGCTAGTCTTACACTATTTGTATGGATTGATTAAAGAGATGCTGAGTTATGGGACTGCATTCCTGGTGTTTCCAAATTATTCTGCCATCTCTGGAAGTGCCATCCACTGTTGAAATAATACAGAAAAAAAGTTGAATTGTGTTAGTGAAGTGAACGTGTATCTAGCTAAGCTTTCTTATTACATTTGTAAATGTCTGCTGAAGTTACTGGATAGGGTCTTGCTCTTTTCATGCTTGCACCGAGGTGTAAGTTTTAGCTGCCTATTCAGTTACTTGAGTTTTATGTTGGGTGAGTAGAGAGAAATGGAGGCCATTGAAAGCTCCAGAAACAACTCTTGTCTATGCTCTGCAATTGGGATTATTCCCACTTTCTTTTTTGTAAATGTAACCATACTTGCTGGAGAGGAAAGCTAGCAGAATTCTCCATACAAATGTGTATAACAAGCAAGACCAATTTGTGTGGGATACATGCAGAATAAAGTGTTAAGGACTGTGGTTTTCAACTGTCAAGATGCAGAGTTTTTTGGGAGAAGCCTGTAACTTGTGATAGTAACAGTGTATGCAGCAGAGGTGCAATGTGCATGATTTTCAGTAAATTACACTTGTAAGAATACCAAAAGGATTGGCATTAGATCTTGTGATGAACCTTTTTAATTAGCCATGCTAAAAGAGAGTTCTAAGCAGTCATAGCAGATGAGATTTGTAGAATAACTGTTCTTTTGGTTAAAGCCTTGTGTCTCTAATTAAAACATGCAGCAGATTACTCTTTGTGCTTCAGACATCTCCTGAGATGGTAAGCAAATGAAATGAAAAACAGATCTAAGCAGTGCAAGGTGTGATTCGTTAGCTATTTGTCATCAGAACTGGTGTCACTTCTCTGGTTTGGTGAGGCTTGAGCTAGGGGAGTGCTCTGGCTGCACCCAAGGATTGAGTTGCTTCTCGGTTATGTTG